TCTATTGGTCATCCCGTTTCAGAGCGTATGAAGATATTTGCTGCTTTCAAAGGTCTGGGACGTGAGATTGAACCTATCAAAATCAGTATTGAAGGCTCGATGGACAACTTTCCGGCTCCTACCTTTGATGACATCATTCCGCGTTTATATGCTTCAGCTGATCGTCTTCAAAGCTACTTAACAGAGACAGAAATCTCTCCTCATCTGGCCTTCAATGCGATACGCAACAGCTCCCCCAACGATTACTATGCCAGCTACAACAACTCTGGTGGTCGAGGTCAACATTACAACAACCGGGGCAGAGGAAACAGAGGTGGCAGAGGTCAATACTCCACCCAAGGTCGTGGCTTTCATCAACAAGTGGTCACTTCCTCTAGCTCAAACGGTTCATCTGATAGTGGAGAAAGGCCAATATGCCAAATCTGTGGAAAAGTTGGCCATCCTGCAATACGATGTTGGCACTGGTTTGACAACAGCTACGTAGAGGACATGCCTAACGCTCTTGCTGCATTGCGAATCACTAATGTTACAGACAGTTTGGGTATTGAGTGGTTTTCCAACACAGGAGCGACAGCACACATCACCAACTCTGCTCAACACCTTCAGCAAGCTCAGGTCTACAAAGGTTCTAATGCTGTAATGGTCGGAAGTGGAGAATATCTGCCTATAACTCACACTGGCTCCGCATGTCTTCCTTCCACCTCAGGTAACTTACCATTACATGATGTTCTGGTGTGTCCTTCCATCACCAAATTATTACTGTCTGTCTCTAAGATTACAAAGGATTATCCTTGTTCTTTCACCTTTGATTGTGATGATGTCCGTGTGTATGATAAGGGAACCAACCAACTTCTTCTTCTAGGAAGAAACAATGATGGACTATATGTGTTGAAGAAGAAGCCCAATCTCAGTGTGTTTTACTCGTCACGACAACAAGCTGCTAGCAGTGAAGTGTGGCACAGACGTTTGGGTCATCCAAATCAGCATATTCTTTACAGTCTTTCAGCAAATAAAGTCATTCTCATCAATAAAAGCACCAAGTCTCTCTGTGAAGCCTGCGAGCTTGGGAAGAGTCATCATCTATCATTTTCTGCTTCATCTTTTGTAGCTTCTAGACCTTTAGAGAGAGTTCATTGTGATCTCTGGGGTCCTTCTCCAATAGTCTCTGTTCAAGGTTTTCGGTATTATGTAGTCTTCATTGACAACTACTCCAGATTCTGTTGGTTTTATCCTTTGAAATTAAAGTCAGACTTCTTCTCAATATTTTTCAAATTTTAGTCTTTGGTTGAAAAAAAACTTCAAAGCCGAATTGGCACCTTTCAATGTGATGGTGGAGGTGAATTTACAAGCAATGCCTTCCTCAAACATCTTGAAAAATGTGGAATCCAACAGTATATCTCATGTCCATACACTCCTCAACAAAATGGACTTGCAGAATGCAAACACAGGCATATAGTTGAGCTTGGTCTGTCGATGATGTTTCAGAGCAAACTCCCGCAGAAGTATTGGGTTGAAGTTTTCTTTACGGCGAATTTTCGCAGCAATCTTCTTCCTCACACGGCCTTGGACAATTCAAAGAGTCCATATGAGCTACTTTATGGTGCTACTCCAGCATATTCATATCTCAGAGTTTTCGGTTGTGCCTGTTACCCTACACTACGAGACTATGGTACAACTAAGTTTGATCCAAGATCCCTGAAGTGTGTTTTTCTTGGCTACAATGAGAAGTACAAGGGTTATCGGTGCTTACTTCCTACTACGGGTCGAGTCTACATCAGTCGCCATGTCATATTTGATGAATCAGAGTTTCCTTTTGCGGATACTTTCGCTCATCTGCATCCCAAGGCTCAAACGCCATTGTTATCAGCCTGGACTCATAGTTTTGCACCAAAAGAATCTGCAAGAAACTTTGCAACTCAGAATACAGGGGCAACTGCAGTTGAAGAACCAGTCGGCTCTCTACAATAGGTCACCATTCAGCAACAAGCTTCATCGGTGTCAACAGCTCCTACTTCACATTCATCTACCACACTTGAAGCGAACGATTTCGAGTCATTAGGTGTTGATTCTAATTCTGGTTCTATGGATAACAGCTCCTCTCAACAAGTCAGTGGAACAGATGTAAGTGTGTCATCTTCGCCGACCCTTCCTGCAGTACCTCAAACAACAACAACATCATTTCACCCTATGGTTACTCGCTCAAAAGCAACTGTTGCAGCACCGTCTTCCTCATCAATGTCTCTGCCTGCAGCAACAGCAACGTCTCTGCCTGCGGCAACAGCAACGTCCCACTCTATGGTTACTCGATCAAAGGTGGGAGTAGTAAAACCAAACCCTCGTTATGCTCTACTCACTCATAAAGTTGCCTATCCAGAACCAAAGATGGTGACAGAGGCATTAAAGCATCCTGGATGGAACAATGCTATGTATGAAGAAGTTGATAATTGTAAAGAGGCGCATACTTGGTCACTTGTTCCCTACTCACCTGATATGCATGTACTAGGGAGCAAATGGATTTTCAGAACCAAGCTTAATGCAGATGGGACTCTGGACAAACTCAAAGCTCGTCTTGTTGCTCAAGGATTTGGCCAGGAAGAGGGAATAGACTATTTGGAAACATTCAGTCCAGTAGTCAGAACTGTGACAGTGCGGATTGTTCTTGATGTTGCAACTGTTATGCAGTGGGAAATAAAACAAATGGATGTAAAGAACGCTTTTCTCCATGGTGATTTGACAGAAACAGTTTACATGAAGCAACCGGCAGGGTTTGTAGACAAAGACAAGCCTAATCACGTGTGTCTTCTGCATAAGTCCTTGTATGGACTCAAGCAAGCCCCTAGAGCATGGTTTGACAAGTTCAGCAACTTTCTCTTGGAATTCGGGTTCATATGCAGCATCAAAGATCCATCACTATTCGTGTACTCAAAAGGTAATGATGTGATCATGCTGCTGCTGTATGTTGATGACATGATTCTCACTGGGAACAACTCGGCTGTACTGGACAAACTGCTACAAGAGCTTAACAGTCAGTTTCGAATGAAGGATCTTGGAAGAATGGCCTATTTCTTAGGAATTCAAGCGCAGTTTCTGGATACAGGTCTGTTTCTCTCGCAACAAAAATATGCAGAGGATCTTCTTGCTATTGCAGGGATGAGTGAGTGTTCGCCAATAGCAACACCACTGCCTATTCAACTGAACAGAGTACCAGACCAAGATGAACTCTTCTCAAATCCAACTTACTTTCGAAGTTTGGCAGGAAAGCTTCAATATTTGACACTCACAAGACCTGATATTCAGTTTGCTGTCAACTATGTGTGTCAAAAGATGCATTCTCCCACTGTCTCAGATTACAACTTGCTCAAGCGAATATTAAGATATGTCAAAGGGACAATAACAATGGGACTCACTCTCTCAAAGGACTCCGATTTTACACTTCGGGCTTATAGTGACAGTGATTGGGTTGGGTGTCCTCACACTCGAAGATCAAATGGTGGCTTCTGCACGTTCCTTGGGGCAAATTTGATCTCCTGGTCGTCTCAGAAACAGAGGACTGTATCACGGAGCTCAACTGAAGCAGAGTATCGATCGTTGTCAGAAGCTGCAATGGAGATGACTTGGATATGTGCAGTGCTGCGAGATCTAGGAGTACCATTGGAGGTAACACCTGAACTATATGGTGATAATCTTTCATCTGTGCATCTAACTGCAAATCCAGCATTCCACAAAAGAACAAAACATTTCGAAACGGACTATCACTATGTTCGAGAAAGAGTGGCTCTTGGATCGCTGGTGGTGAAACATGTCCCGGCTCATCAGCAAATAGCTGATATCTTCACAAAATCATTGCCATCTGAAGCTTTCTGCTCTCTAAGGTACAAACTCGGTGTAGATTATCCACCCACACCAAGTTTGAGAGGGAATATTAGTGAGAACAACTCGGCTTCAGGTGTGAAAGAGAGAGGAGATCAAAACGACACAGTTCGGGTGATTGATACAAAAAGAAAAGAAAAACTGGGCCACGAAGATCAAGCCCAAATCAAAACAGAAGTGAAGTCCAGTCAGAATACTCTTACATTCAAAAGTGAAACTCTGCAACGGTCTGATGGCGATAAGAACAAGCTCTGCAAAAGCAGAGTGTACGAGTCTGATACAGGCTGTGAGAAGAAGACAGAAATCGTTAAGTTGTCCAACTCATTCTCTGCCCTTGGATCTCTAAATGACACAGGATGATGACAGGTATAAGGAGACTAGGGTTTATCAAAGCTTAGTATAAATAACCTCTTATTGTCTTTGTAACGTTCAAGTTGAATAAAATAAATCTTCTTCTTCAAAGAAATCTCGTTCCTTTACAAATCTCTTTACTACTAACTGAAGAACTGAGAAAATAACTGAATCAATATCTAGATTGTTTCTGCCTAATTTTATCCAAACACACTTTAATGATTTGAAAGTTTTTTTTTTGGTACGATTTTTTTTTTTTTGGTACGAATGATTTGAAAGTTTTAAAATTCAGAAAAGCTCTCCTAATTTTTTTCACAGTCATTAACTTCTTTTTTTCTTCATAACCAAAAATGTTTTTTTTTAAACCTGGCTTTAGTTTTGTTTTTAAAGTCACAGTTTTCACCATTGTATTTTAAAATATAAATTCACAATCCCAACTCTAACCACTCAAACCCATTATCTAAAAAAAAACAGCTTGATCATCATTTGAGAAATGAATCTATTCAACTATTTGATAATTAAGAAAGAAATATTTTGGGAAATTAATCTATTCAACAATAGAATTAAAATAAAAATGATTTTATTGAGAAAAGATTCATGATGTATATATATTACACTCTCTTTTTGAGTTTTCCACAATGTAATGTAACACCTTTGCCAATGGGAATAAACGTATGTGATGCGATCGAGTCGTCTTTCAATATTGTGCTGGATCACATCTAGCAATATGAATATACAAACAATTTAGATGTAAGATGTTTATCTCTTGTTACGAACATGCTTTAAGTAAACAGATACATTATAATATATTATGTGTTTGGAACATAGATATTGATATACATAACGCTGAGAGTGAAGCAAAACAGCGAAACCATCAATAATACCTAACTGTAAACATCTCTTTTGGTGCATAAAGTTCCTTTGCTTCTTCATTCTATAATCTGTGCATAAACTTCACTATGGTTGCCTTGTTACTCTCAAATTTTCACTTTCAAGATCTCTTTCCTCTACTGACCCGACCCTTTGCTAATTTACTGCATCCATCATCAAGAAAAGATGCACTCACATGTAGAGTCTCGGCAACAACTCAAGATTTGTCTCTTTTCTCTTCCTTTTTGATCGTCAACACGAGCAACCTCCTCCCTGCTGATCGCCTTGTGATGAACTCGAAGCCGGTTTCAGGTGTACGTCAACCATATCCTCTGTTTTCGTGTTTGAATACGATTCCATTCCCGGTAACGCCGCAGAGATTTTACGAAACAAAGGCTTAATATTGAATCCTGCTTTAGCGCTTGTCTCAATGAACATAACTCCATACTCACGACCTTTGCTGTCTCCTTCTTCAATCGAGACTTGCCTGACCATATTCATACAAAAAGTTAAAAGAGAATTTGTAATGTGTGGTTTTATACTTTAAAGGAGTACCTTTTTTCGACAAGATCAGTCTTGTTTCCGACAAGAACAATGGTAACATCACCGGATCTTTCAGTGCGGACGTCTTCGATCCACTTTGCTGTGTTGAGAAATGAAAGCCTATTGGCTACATCATAAACCACTACGGCAACTGAAGAATCTCTTATGTAGCTTGGGATTAAACTCCTGAATCTTTCTTGTCCAGCTGTATCCCTGTAAGAGAAATTCAAACTCCTGAAATCTTTCTTGTAACTTTGTAAAATGATGAGAGGTTGAAGATGAAGGAAATATTGTTTTCTTACCATAGCTGCAGACGAATATTTCGATCTTCAAGGTACATTGTTTTCGATAGGAAATCGATTCCAATAGTAGCCTGCGCAAAGAAAAAAAAAGCTTTATACAATGAAAATTTACATTCAACAACGTTGTATCTACTACATGATCAATGTGTTAGAGAAGTACACAAAATAATCCCTTATTGATGATTTGTGATTAACAGAAGGTAATGTGATTCGGAGAGAAACAATTAAAATATTTTTTTTAGGATTTTGATTATTTAACCTGGTAGGTTGTGTCGAACTTATCATACATGAAACGCGTGATGATGCTGGTTTTTCCGACAGATTGATCTCCCAAGAACACCAATTTATACTTGGCCAGAGGTGACACCGACGCCATCTCCGACACTCAATAGTCTTTAAAAATTCGACCGGAACAAAGTTTAAACTTCTTGTTTCTCGGAGAAATGCAAACACAGAGAGAGAGAGAGAGAGAGAGAGAGAGAGAGAGAGAGAGAGAGAGAGAGAGAGAGAGAGAAGTGCCTATTTTTAGAAAGTGAAGAAACCGCCAAGCACGACGACTAATGACGCGCGGCTTCTGAAAAGTCGCTGTTAGTTTTTTAAGTTTTACCTTTTTTTTTTTTTTTAAAACACAACTTTTGTTTCCGCCGATTTCGTCCCCAAAAAGCAAAAAATAAACTCAAACCCAATTTTATGGAAACAACTGTAAAAACAAACAGTCTTTATCCAAAAAGAAAAAATACTATGGAAAAAATGGGTTATGTTTGATGGAACTCAACTGTTCTAAAATCCAATTGTTGAATTAGAGCATCCACAAAGCACACTATTATGTTTGGATTTTTGTTTTTTAATTTTTAAATATCTTTAGAATCGATTCTATAGATTCTTCTATAAAAACCGATTCTAAAGTCTGAAATTCTTAACACATTTTTTTTATTTTTTTTCATTTAATAACTTCACAATGCAGAAGAATCTATAGTAGATACAACATTAAAGAACGTGTATTCAACTTAACATTTGAAATGATTTGGAAGAATTTGATTTTTAATGAGTTTTTAGACGAATTGTTTGAATTATAGAAATTATTATGATTTAATATCAAAATTCTACCAAATTCTACCTATAATTATGAAATTTAGATCCTTATATTTTTAACTAGGAAATTCCATCAAAACATCTTAAAATCACTTAAAGTTTTTTAAAATCCACTACTTAAATTATTTCCAATAATAATGGATTTGAAGATACATTTTCAAATCACTACTTCAATAACACTGAATTTTAAACAACTTTTTAAAATTTATGTTTTTCTTTTTCAATAACAGAGAGTTGTGACATATCATTCTAAATTATATTTTGAATACACCCTCAGAAGCACTTATGAGTAATAAACGCGTTTTAATGATGGGTTTATCAATTGAACCAGTAATGACTCCATGGCCCAATGGATAAGGCGCTGGTCTACGAAACCAGAGACTCTGGGTTCGATCCCCAGTGGAGTCGCGTTACATTTTTCCATATTTTTGGTCAATCAATAACGGAGAGAGAAGAGAAGACAAGAGTCCCAAGTGTTTATATATATTATGAGCTAGACGAACCATAGACAAACAAAAAAAAACACACACACGGACACGAACACGAACACAAGATCCTAAGAAAGAACAAACCCTGAGATTTACGCTTGAGCCAAAAAAGAAAATGGAGTCTGATTTTTTAGACCAACGAAATGGTGCTCTCGCCACCGGGAGGCCTCCTGGCGCCACCATAGTAATCCCGATACTCCGACTTGCCGTCAGCGAATACATCGTGTCCGCTCATCTCCCTGAGTTTAGCTGAGCTATGCATCTTCTCTGAATAACCAGGAGGGACTTTATCAGATTTGAAGACACCATTGCTAGTGAGTTGCTGAACCCTCGGGTTGTGTATCTTCCTTGATGACGACTTGACAACATGTTCTTCGCTGCTTTGCCCCTAAAACACAATTGGGCATCGTCACACATCCACACAATACATCATCACATCACGAAAAAAGTAGAGGCACTCTGCTTACACTAGAGCTCCTCGGCGCCATGTTCTTGTTTCCTTTACCTTCTTCCTGCAACACAGACCTGATCTTGATGTCGTGACCACTGATTGCTTTGGCTTTGGAACTCGATACCTGCTTCTTCTTGCTCCTAGGAGTCGCCTTCTCTTGGCCGCCGCTGAAAGATATCTGGCTATCCTGCAGAACCCAGGTTTTGTCATTGATTTACCATCAAACTCATCGAAATAGAAAGTAAGTAAGCACCTGATCGTGATGGTAATGGTTTATTGTCTTGTGGCTTGCTTCGTCTTTGCCGTTATCAGAGAATAAGTCACTACCAGTCATTTCTTTAAGCTTGTGCCCACAACACTTCTTCCTATAAGAAACACTGACAAAAACGACAATTCACATTCTAAGAGCAGACAAAAACCTAATTTTGTTTCCTCGTATCAACAATTTCAGGCGAAAGCCCTAAAATCAGCCGGTAAATCAAGATGAAATCGTTACTTTTTGTTCAGGGATTCGGCTTCCTCGCTGGTGATTTGACAGCCGCCGCCAAGGACCTCGCTGATGTCGTCGGACGTCTGAAGAAAAAGAAGAACAGAAAATCAGAACGGAATCGCACTCGTCGGCCGGAAAACCATCATAATCAGAACCGAATCACGCGAACGCACCTGGTTAGAGCGGTTAGCGGCGGAGGATTTGTCAGGAAGACGGATCTCTGTCCAAGAGAGAAGATCGGCGGTGGAATGGTGCGGATTGCTCAACGGCATGTTTCTCCTCTCCATAACTCTTTGATGTCGCCTGAGATCAATGGAGGAGGGTTTTCTAAATAGCTCTCTGGGGAGCGACAAAGCTTTTATGCTATTTATTTTGTTTTCTCTCGAACAGCTTTCTTTTTCTATTCTTTTAGTGGAGGAATAATGCCTTTTCATTTTACATGTCTGATTATTTTTATAAATATTTGGTTATTTAAAATTGTACAATAATTTTCAAAATATTGTTAAAATTAAATTTTTATAACTAAATTTATATATAACTCAATTCAACAATAAGTTTCTTATTTTATTTAATTTAAAACATTTTTCATTTTTTTTCATTTTAAATAAAAAGAAAATTACTTATCAAACATATAACTACAACTAAAGCACCTGATTTTTGTTCCAATTAATTTAGATTTTTTTTCATTTCAATTATGTATGTGTAATTTTCTTTTTCATTAGCAGATCTTCATGTGTAGATGTTCACAACAACACCTCTGAATCTTTCAACAATGCCATTGATCATGCCAGGTACATGCCTATGGTTGAGATGTTAGAGACTATTATGAGAAGAGCTATGGTGCATATTGATTATAGGAAGACAAAAGCGAGGAACAACATAGCTAGGTACCCTCATAGAATAGCAAAGATCATAGAGTTAGAGCAGGAGAAGTTGAGGTTTTGTAAGATGATTCCAAGGTCTGATGGTAGATGTGAGGTTCGTGAGTCAGGTACTTCATATTCTGTGAATTTGAGACTGAGGACTTGCACATGTAGGAGATGGGATATGAGTGGCATTCCTTGTCGCCATGCCTTGCGTATTATCGCAGAAATAAAGCTGAACCATGAAGATTACATCTCCAGTTGCTATCTCAATTCCAGGCAGCAACTGATTTACAGTGACTCGATAAGACCAGTAAATGGTATGTGTTTCTGGAAAACAACTGGTTTTGTGGTGCTTCCTCCGCCGAGTTTGATTGAAGAAATTAAAAACAGAAAAGGAAGAAAGCCAAAACCAAAGAGGAAGAAAGGAAAGAATGAGTCTCCAACAAAGAAGAAGGTTAGCAGAAAGATGAGGGTAATGCATTGTGGTCGATGTAGTTTTGCTGGACACAATGCAACTAAGTGCACGAACATAGGAGCGGTGGTGTATAGGAAACCATATAAGAAAGAAACAGGAGCAGAAGAAGAAGACATTGGAGAAGGAACATCTCAACAAACGCAAGATTAATCAGGTTCAAAAAAACAAAGCTATATTTGTTTATGTGTTTCTGTGTTTATGTTGTGTTTTGAATTCTTGTTAAAATGGTGAAATCAGGGAAAGAATGATAGAGTAAGAGTGGTTTGAAGGTTTTTGCAATGATGGAGCTTCAGGGTTTGAAGGTTTTTGCAATGATAGTTTTTGGAGGGATGAAGCTTCAGAGTTTAAGACATTTCTATTTTTTGTTTTTCTTGTTTTCTTTTACAAAGATTGAGCTTCGGTCATAATGCTATCTTTTTCGGACGTGATGTTGAAATACAATATTGCTAATCATCATTTATCATTGTTGTGTTTCCTTCTCTTTCTTTTAGACATACAAACATGAGAAACCAAACATAGCAAACCACAACCTTTTCACATTAGCCACAAACATAATCATACATGCCAAGAAATGTCACAAACACAATGTCTACAATCTCACAACTACCATTAAACTCAAACACAATACTGTCTACAATTTCAAACCTTATACAAACCTAAAGAAGAAAATCATCACCAAAGCAAACACCACAATGTTTTTCAAACTCCTAAGCTGCACTTTCAACTCTCTGATCTCCTTCTCAACGACAGCCTCACACACACGTGTCAATCTCTGATTCACAAGTATTGTAGCTATTTTGCAATGTGATTGAAGCACCTTCTAGATTATTAACTTTCTCAATCAAGTCTTCAATCTCTTGAACCATAGATATATCAGTCCATTTGAACACATGATACCAATTATCCTGTCTGAAAATTGTAGAAGCACGCTCAATGAAGAGCGTAATTTTAAAAAATAACAAAATCTGAATTTCATATTTACAGGTTCTCCAAATGGGCAAGCATGAAATAACCTTCCTGGGTTTTTAGCAGTCCATGACGTCTTCATCACTACCGATTCTCCACATCGACATCTTTTGGAGATTCCTCTTACTTGATCCCCCATTCTTCGAACACACCTTAGGAAATTTTTAAAACAAAATCCATCTGTTTCAGTTATATTTTGTCACCAATTCGAATAAATACTGAGACTAAAAATTAAATCTGATCGAAAGTAAACCTTAGATGACTAAAAAATTTTAAATTCTTCGTCGAGAAAAACGAAGAAGACGAGAGAAGGATCCGACAATGGAAAAAAGAAAACCAAATCTCTAAATCCCGAACGAAATCTTGACTAAGACTCTCGATTCTCCTTGAATTATACTAATCATTCATCATTGACTTGTGTTTGAGAAATCGAAAATCTGTATTTTTGTAGGATGAAGAGCGAAGAATACGGGGTTCGGAGAATAGAAAGAAGAAGATAAAATCTCTAAATCTCAAATGTAAACGGCACCGTTTTAATACAAACAGACAAATTTAGTTATTTGTTAATACCACTTTGTTAAATCAATTACACATAGATGCTGATTCATCAATTGTTAATTGTTAATGCACGACTAACCAAACTAACCAAACTAACACTCAACGCCACTACTTGCACTAAACTGATAATTTAGGTTGTTAATTTGAATTCTCATATGAGTTGGGGTAGCAAAATGCACTAATAATTAGTTTGTGTATAAAAAGGTACGATAAAAATTGTTGAAGTTGATTTTGAACATTTTTCCATTTAAAATTAAAAGGCAAACTTTTTAATTCATACTAAAAAAATGAAAAAAAAATTATAAAGAAATTTAAAAATAAGAAAAGGGCTACGCTCTTCTAGCGACCTCCTTTCATTCGTTTCTTCTCTACTCAGTTTTTCTTATCTCTCTCTCTCCCTCGCACAGCTCTTCCTTCTCCCGTCGTCGTCGACCATTTGATTACGGTAAGATTCGCTCTTCTCCAAGTAGATTCCTCCACCTCAGAGAGATCTCTGTATTCGCCTCTTCTCTATCTCTCCTCTCTTTCAGGATTTTTTTTTTTTTTTGCAATTAAAACGAGGTTTTAGGCAAAATTTCGGCGTATAGAATCGGCCCGCAAACGGAAAATTTTCCGCTCAGCTCGGAATTTGTATAGAAATGATTTTGCCTTTTGTTTCGTTTACTGGATGAAGAAGAGCTTCGTCTGTTTCGTGATGGTTTCTGATTTTATTTTCATGTGAAATTGAAAATCTTATTACTCAGATAAATTCTCAAGATCTCAGTTGTTGGTTTGTGATGGCTTTATCCATTTGCAGGGAGTGTAATTTGTATCGAGCTGAAAAAAATGTCTCTGATACAATTTGGAAGTACCTGTGTTGCTCAGTGGAGTATTCGAGCTTATTATCCGAGCAGAGTCGAATCAAGTCGACAACAAAAGTAAGCTTCTCTGTTTCCAAGTCCCTGGATTGGAATAAGTTCTTGACATAGGAATACTGTTAAAGAAGAGAATCTGAAATTGGCATTAAAGGGTTTTCCTTTTCTCACAACTTTACAGCTCCATGAGCCAAATAAATTGTTTGGGAGCTTCAAGGTCGAGTATCTTCTCATCACATGGCTCCTTGCCCTTCTTGTCGATGACGGGAATGTCCAGAGATATGCATCCTCGCAGAGGAGCTCGCTTCACTGTTAGAGCTGATGCAGTACGTGCTCCCGTTTTCCTCACTTTGCAGAATGCGTATATATATCTCAGCTTCACTACTTACTTATGATCTTGGCTGATTGCTTTTGGGTGATTCAAGGATTACTATTCGGTACTCGGAGTTTCGAAAAATGCAACCAAATCTGAGATTAAAAGCGGTATGCTTACATTTTTTTCTGAATGTTAGAGATTCATGATTTGACTTCTTCTCTGCGTTTCTTGTGTCTTGTTTTGGCTTGCACGTTTTGGTATGACATTGATTCAACCTTGCTTGCTCTCGTTTCAGCTTATCGGAAGCTGGCTAGGAATTACCATCCGGATGTGAACAAGTAAGTGGGAAACTTCATTTGATGAACATTGTTGCTGTATATCTTGAGAACAAGAGGATAGGATCAACACTCAAGTACAATATTAGTACACATCTGTTAGCCAACTGTAGAATATGCCAAAAACAAGATAATGCTCAGAAGCCGCTTCTTCTCCTTCACAACTCATAGGCATTAGCGAGATACAGAACCAGAAATATGAAATGATCAAAAAACCGCTTGCTTTCCTTCAAGACTGATACTTCTAAGTTAGAAACTTGTCACCGGCTTGTTTACAAGCTTATTATGTGCTTACAGGGAACCTGGTGCAGAAGAGAAATTCAAAGAAATAAGTAATGCATATGAGGTGAAATGAATCCCAACTTCTCCTTTGTTCTAGAGATGCATTTGTTAGCCTTGTGAGGTTTCTGTTGACTAAAGGAACAGTTTTTTTTTTTTTTGATTTTGCAGGTCTTATCAGATGATGAAAAGAAGTCTCTTTACGATAGGTTTGGTGAAGCCGGAGTTAAAGGCGCTGGTGGAATGGGAGGCATGGGGGTACGTTGTTCAAAGCCAACATTTCACACAGACTTTTTTCTTTAAAGCCAAGTCTCTGATCACTTTCTTTGGTTTTGCGTTCTTTTCAATAGGATTTTAGTAATCCGTTCGATCTATTCGAGTCATTATTCGAAGGCATGGGAGGGATGGGAGGAGGAGGTGGAATGGGGAGAGGTTCAAGAAGCAGAGCCGTGGATGGTCAAGACGAGTACTACACACTGATCTTGAACTTCAAAGAAGCTGTTTTCGGGATGGAGAAAGAGATTGAGATATCCAGGCTCGAGAGCTGCGGGACTTGCCAAGGCTCAGGCGCGAAACCGGGAACCAAACCGACCAAATGCACCACATGCGGTGGTCAAGGCCAAGTGGTCTCATCAGCAAGAACTCCTCTCGGAGTGTTCCAACAAGTCATGACTTGCTCGTCATGCAACGGCACTGGAGAGGTCTCGACGCCTTGTGGTACTTGCTCAGGAGACGGACGCGTGAGGAAGACGAAACGGATAAGCCTCAAAGTACCGGCCGGGGTTGACTCCGGTAGCCGGTTAAGAGTGAGAGGAGAAGGCAACGCCGGGAAGAGAGGCGGGTCGCCGGGAGATCTGTTTGTTGTCATAGAGGTCATACCAGACCCGGTTTTGAAACGGGACGATACTAACATACTCTACACCTGCAAGATATCGTACATAGATGCGATTCTAGGGACGACCTTGAAAGTGCCGACGGTGGACGGGACGGTGGATTTGAAAGTACCGGCGGGGACACAGCCGAGCACGACGCTGGTGATGGCGAAGAAGGGAGTTCCCGTGCTGAACAAGAGTAACATGAGAGGGGATCAGTTGGTGAGAGTGCAGGTGGAGATACCAAAGAGACTGAGCAAAGAAGAGAAGAAGCTTATTGAGGAGCTTGCTGATATGAGCAAGAACAAGACTGCTAATAGTAGTAGATGATTGATTGGTTAGAAAGAAGGAAAGTTTTGACATTTTGGTATTGTGAATCTCTAATACATGAATGAATATATATTGTACCCATTGTTGATTTTTGGAATGTCTTTTTGGAAAGAGGAAGCTTTAAACTATAAAAGGGGAAGAAGATGATAATCTCGGCAATCATCAGTGTGCTTGCTCATCCCATTTTCTCATTTTCTTCTTCTTGGTTTTGGAAAAAGTGAAAAAAAAAAAAAAAAAAAAAAAAAAAAAAGCTTATGGGGTGAGAGAGGCTCGAACTCTCGACCTCAGGATCACTCAGTAGCTATGAGACCTACGCGCTAGCCAACTGCGCCACCACCCCATGTTTGTTTGCTCATTGCAACACATAATTAATAGCAACGTTTTATTAAAAATTGTGTCAACCATGAATTTCAATATCAATCTTTGGTCTCAGATTCCTGGAAGAAACATTGATTTTTATATCATGCTCGAAGTTTTCGTCCAACATACACATTCTTAAACTGTGGGCATATAGCTCTGAAATCAAAAGGTTCTAAATCTTTCAATTTACTATTTACGAAAAGGTTGATGAGAGAAGACAAACAAATCTTATTCAAGATGTGAAGAGATCTCTAACTGATGGCATTAAGCATTCAACTCTAATAAATCACAAGTTTTTCACAGCCATGTGATGTAGTAACATGAGAGAACACAAAGAAGAACATGTGTCTTTAAAGTTTCAACTTGTTACAATGTTGCAGTACCTCCTCCGTCCGACATAAGAGATGCAGCAGCCGCAGCAGCGGTTGGCACAACTCCAGTGGAGATAAACGGTTTCGACAAGTGAACAAGCCTGAAAGTACAAGAAAACATAACACAATAACGAATTAGATCAAAGAAGACACACACTATCTATCCAGAGTGTAAGAAAAAAGACGAGATGGGTCTCTTACGGGGCGAGAAATTCACAGAAAGATGAAACCGCAGCTGCTACTTCGCTGTAGTTCTCAGGTGTTGCTGGAGCCGTTACATCCACAATCTGCATCCCGGGTGTTACAGGAACAGCCTCGTCTATGGCATGAATCTTGGGCATCTTGTTGACTGAAGACACGGAGACACTCATGTGCGCGGTCCGTTGGAAATGAAATGAGAATCCGACTTTGAGGAGCTCGTGGTCGAGTTTGTAACCGAGCGCGTAGAACATACGCAGAGCGTTCTTGCTCACTTTGCTCTCAATCATGGTTCTTACCATAACAGAGATTTGATCAGCTCCTGCACCTCTCATCGCACCTCCAACATGTTTAACACTCCTATCATATCATCAAGATCCTTCTTCTTGATTACAAGATTCATTTGATAAAAGCAAGAACATATACAAACAGCAAGAACAAGAAGCTGTACCATGTGGGCTCTGGTTGATCAAGATCACATAAAAGCCTAACTTCTGAGGATACAACTCCTGAAGGTCAAGAAGATTCACAATGTGGATTATTTCGATCGATGATTTTCAAAACTTGAGTATGACAATTTTTTCATAATTGGCTTACCAAGATTTGGGCCGCTTTTCAAGCAGAGCTCATGAACTCTCAAGCGTTCGCGTGGAACACCACAAAGACCTTGAAGAAGGATCTCAAGCGCTTCAACATGCTGAAATTTGACAAGAAACTCTCATCAGGTTTCCTAATTTCTATATAACCATAAGAACAAAATCATCAAGGTTCAAATCTTCGACCTAGGTTTAGCCATTTAGCATTCAGAGCAAAGCTAAAATCTTCTTCTTTTTAATGAATTCGAGCACTTAGAATTGGAGAAGACGCACCTGTGTCTCAATGATTCCTTGAACTACACACTCCATTGAATCGTTTTCTTACCAAATCCCTTCAGCACAAACACAGTTATCGACAACAGAACAAATCTGGTAGATAAATTAGATTCCCAGACTCCGAAGCTCGTCGTTTCTCTTTTTCTTCCTTCGAGAGAGAAGATTTTGTGCCCAGGCCCAGATCTTTGGGGGTACAAGAGAGAAAGGTGGAAGAAACTTTTCGAGTTACAAACAGTAAATTTCATATATAAATCAGTTTAGTACAATCAGAACAAGATGGCCTATTAGCTCAGTTGGTTAGAGCGTCGTGCTAATAACGCGAAGGTCACAGGTTCGAAACCTGTATAGGCCATATCTTTTTAGTCTCTTGGTTTTTTCTTGAAAACGCTATTTTTGGCGGTCTATCATAAAACTTTAATATCTATAATATAATTAAAAAGGTTTTTTAATCCTTGACTCAAATGTTTGAAGTTTAGGAAAATTAACAAGATGGAGACAAATTTTGCAGAAGATGATGACCCACATGTAAAAAACTAGATATATCATTATATTTATTCATTTTTTATTTCTCTAATTAGATCAATATTTCAATGAAAAGGAGAAAAAACTATATCAATAAAGGTAAGAGATACAATAGTATTAAAAAAAAAATTAAAAAAACAGTTGTCAAAGTATCTCAATAACAAATAACAAAAGTGTCCATTATGATAGAAAAATCTTAGCAAAATGTGTCTATTTATCTAATTATAATCCCATGCACTTGTATTATATGGTACACGTGTGACGACGACATTCGTACATTTTGTGTGACTAACAACATATTTAACCCAAACGATTAGTTTATTTTCTTCTCTACAACTTTTATCTCTCAGTCGAACGATGTCTGGAGGAAGCGGATAGAACGTCGCGTCGCCGGAAAATGTCGAGTTCCTCACTCGAACCCTCGTCATCAAACAGAGGACCATCAAGGCTCAGATCTGGGATACCGCAGGCCTTGAACGGTACTAATTAAACCCTTCTCCGATATGTGTTATGTCACATTACTACGTTGTGATTACATTACGATGAAACTGCTTCGATTTGTGACACTTGTCTTGTTTTACTCTGAGCAGATACAGAGCTATGACAAGCGCTTACTACAGAGGTGCTCTTGGTTCAATGCTAGTTTACGACATGAGAAAACGCGAATCCTTTGAGCACATTCCTCAATGGCTAGAGGAACTACGAGAACGCGCCGACAAGAACGTTGTCTTCGTCCTGATCGGTAACAAGTCTGATTTAGAAGATCAGAGATCGGTTCCCATGGAGGAGGCCAAAGAGTTTGCAGAGAGAGAAGGGCTACTTTTTCTCGAGACTTCAGCTTTAAATTCTACTAATGTAGAGAACTCTTTCATCACTCTCTTGACTGAGATCTTCAACACAATGAGAAAGATGAATCTCGCATCTCGCCGAAACCAAGGCGATCCAAACAAAACATGCATCACAGGTGTTACAGGAGGAACTATCTCATCTATGGAATGAATTAAATAACTTCTCGCGCAAGAAAAATAAATTTTGAAAAATTATATTGAAATTGTTCGTTAAAATAAAATTATTTGTGTGGTGAAATGTATATTCTTTCTCTAAATAAAAATATTAGTCTATCTACTTTTAATATTTTTCCGAACATGTATTTATTCACATAAATAAAATAATATATTAGCTACAAAAATCCAAAATTAAATTTTATAAGAAAAATAAAAATTCTTATACAATTAAACTCTTGAGTGGGAATTTGTTCTTTGAAGCTCTTGAGTTTTACGTCCCTTGTTTGATCATTTGAAATAGAATCCTACTCCCTTTTGTTCATAGTCGCTCTTTACATTTTGATATCATGTTCTCTAAGCTCAAAATAGTTCACTCTTTGATGCAGAAGCTCAATGCTCGATTTCATAACGTTTAGCTCAATGTTCTTGGTGATTTGTGATGGTTCAGAGAAAGAACTTCACAAGAATATGACGAAGGTGACTTGTTGATAGACGACAGAGACAAAAAGTTATCTTTATATCTTCCTGGAACAAGTAAAGATATCTCGTTACACAAGGAGCTAAGAGTATACCTTGAAGAAGAGCATAAAGCAGCTGCAGCAGCTTCGGAGGTTGAAACTCAGAAGCATGGGGAAATAGAAGAAGAGGAAGAGGAGCAGAAGAATTCAGAGAAGTCTCTTGTTTCGTTAGAAGATAATAAACCGGTCCTGACGAATGGCATCTCTGTCTTCTCCGACCTGATAGGGTCAAGGCTCTCGGCAAAACATGAGTGTGGTGTTCGATCCTTGGAATCCTAAGAGGAAGCCAATATCGACGCTGAGAACGAGTATCTCGTTAAGAACAACTTCATCAATTCATCTCTCCAAATGTATACATGCAATTTTGATCAATACTTTTATTTGTGTTAAGACGTGTGTGTTAAATTTAATATGTACAATAACATTGTGATTTCCGATTTTTTAGATGTGTTAAATTGAAGATGTATTTTAATATTGTGATTTTAGACTTTTTAGGTGTGTTAAATTCTTAGATGTGTAACCTTTTTTTTTAAAAAAAAATTAGTTTGGTTATATCAATATTGTTGATCAAAATCAAATTACAAATGTAGATTTAGATCTCAAGTTTTAGATTTATATGAAATTGTTAGATAAAATTAATTTATAAATGAAAAAAATAATAATTTTAATATTTAGTTGCAAATATATTTTAAATCAAAGATTAGTATAGTCAAGATAAAAAAAATATGATTAAATGAAAATATGGATATTTTGATCATTTTTTTTTGTTCAGATGATCCTTTCAAATATAATGTAACTGATTAAACAACAGAATTGCATCTAGATGAATTATTCAAATGAATAACCAAAAATAAAATGAAAAATATTTGAATGGATCATCTGAATAAAGCATGTAAATGGATTAGTTGGATGGAGATGACCAGATGATTAGTTGGATTGGTCTCTTCTTGATTTTTTTGCAACACTTGCAATCCTCCTCCACTCTTGGACAATAACAAGTAAGCAATGCCACTCTTTTAATCTGGCCCACGCTTATAACAATCTCTCAGTCCCATTCTCTCAACATCTGTAACAATTTTTTTAAGGTTCTCAAATTTTGTTCCGAGATTTTTTTCTCTGTTCTGAATTTTTCCAAACGTAGATTCTTTTTTCTTTTCTTTGCTAGCCCTTTCATCAGGATCCCTATTCGCCTCTCTCAACACGCATAATTCTCTTGTTGTCAGGTTTACTGGATTCTCTCTCTGATTTTTTCCGAGAATTTTCCCGAGAAAGGTAAATACCTTTTCTTTTCTTTGATCGCTCATCAGGATATGAAAAATATTTCATCTGGATTTGTTTCCTATTTGATAAATGCTTCATCTGGATTTAAGAGGATACCTTTTTCTCTCTGACTTGATAAATGCTTCATCTGGATTTTCAGGCTTTCCATTTTGCAAGTCGGAAGTGTTAGACTTGCTTCACGATCCTAAGCTTCATATCTAACTTGCAACATTGATCGATTTAAGAAGAATTAGAAGAAGAGAAGAAGGCAAGAAGACGACACAACGATTTAACGAGTTCATAGCTAAACCAGAACCTTATGTCTTTCCAGAGATTTACTCTGGAATCCACTAAAAACAGCTCAAGCTCGAGCTCTTTCTCTTTTGTTCGTTGTTACAACAAACTTTCGCTCTCTATCTTATCCACACTTAACTGAAAGAATAATAAAAAGAAGGAGAATGGCTTTCATACTTAAGCCGTATAATTAGAGACCCTCTACTACACCTAGAGTCTTTGTAACACTTGGAGAATAAACCGATATAAAGGACACTTGAACTTTAACAGGAAGCTTTTTTAGATTTTTCTCTGAAAGGTATGATTTTTGAAATGGAACCCCCGCTGCCTATAGGCTCTGTGTGGAACTCCTAAAGAGACATGCATTCTCGCTCATGCTTCAAATTAGAGAATCTGGATATCACAAGTGAGTTCCTTTCATGTCGTTTTGTTGAAATGGTGCACTAGTATGTATTTGTATAAATTTACAGGCTTTTATATACATTATGTACTCATAATGCTAATCTTACTTTTATCAGAATTCTCTTCCTTTACGTTCTACCTTGCATACTAATGTGGAATTTTAAAATGAACAGGACAATGGAATCCATCTTTCTGAAATATTTGGTATACAAAATCAAGACCCTGGAAGTATTCTCCTTGCATTTGTCTTCTCCATGGTCTGGCAGCTAGTTGATGCATCCCTAGACGAGGAAGGGCTTTTAGAACTAACCCCTAATAAGAAGTCTAAATGGCCCGCCGGGCCACACGACATGGAGATAGACCTAATCCAAGATTTTTTGCAGAATAAAGCAATGCTGGTTTACGACATGACAGGACGCGAATCCTTTGAGCATATTCCTCAATGGCTAGAGGAACTACGAGTACACGCCGATAAGAACGTTGTCTTCGTCATGATCGGTAACAAGTCTGATTTAGAAGATCAGAGATCGGTTCCCATGGAGGAGGCCAAAGAGTTTGCAGAGAAAGAAGGGCTGCTTTTTCTCGAGACATCAGCTTTAGATTCTACTAATGTAGAGAACTCTTTCATCACTCTCTTGACTGAGATCTTCAACACAGTGAGAAAGAAGAATCTCGCATCTCGCCGAAATCAAGGCGATCCAAACAAAACATGCATCACAGGTGTTACAGGAGGAACTATCTCATCTATGGAATGAATTAAATAACTTCTCGCGCAAGAAAAATATTTTTAAAAAAATTATATAGAAATTGGTCATTCAAAATAAAATTATTTGTGTAGTGAAATGTATATTATTTCTCTAATATACCAAATTCAAAAAATATAAATTTCAAGTTAGGAAAGTTGTAGTTTTCAAAACCAAATCTTATTTTAACTGTATAAGAATTTTTATTTTTCTTGTTAAAATTAATTTTTGATTTTTGTAGCTAAAGATATTTTCTTGTTTATGTGAATAAGTACAAGTTCGAAATTTTTTTAAAGTAAACTATAATTTTAAGAGAGTTTTTATGAATTAGTATCAATTTAGTTTTTGATTTTTCTAGCTAAATATATTTTCTTATTTATGTGAATAGGTACATGTTCGGAAAAATATTAAAGTAGACTATATTTTTAAAAGATTTTGGTTAGTTATAGAGATAGATATAAAAATCTTTGATAAATGTTTCAACTAAAATGGCCTATTAGCTCAGTTGGTTAGAGCGTCGTGCTAATAACGCGAAGGTCACAGGTTCGAAACCTGTATAGGCCAATTTCATTTTTTTCATTTCGTAATTACTTTTCACTCATTCTCTAACCCAAACCCAGATCCAAAATCTAATCATTTCCAACGGCATTTGTTGGCCTAACCACAATCATCGCTAATCAATTTGATACACGTGCGAGGACACTCGCACGTTCTGTTTCCGGCTAGTCGTCGGCTACCATAGACTGTGGCGTAGAGGATTAAATTTTTTAACCCAAACGATTAGTTTCGCTTCTAACAATTTTTTTCTCTCCCTCAGTAGAATCAGCGAGAGATCTCCGTCTTTTGGGTCGCCGGCTGCGAAGAAGAAGAAGAAGAAGATGGCTGGTGGAGGCGGAAAAGTGGATTACGTCTTCAAAGTCGTACTGATCGGAGACTCTGCGGTTGGGAAGTCGCAGCTACTCGCTCGGTTCACTCGCGACGAATTCAGTATGGATTCTAAAGCCACCATTGGTGTCGAGTTCCAGACTCGAACGCTCGTCATCAGCGAGAAGAGCATCAAGGCTCAGATCTGGGATACCGCCGGCCAGGAACGGTACCAATACCTCTACCTTTCTCCGGTCAGATTAATTTTGCTGGAAAAATCGACGAGTAGTTCTTATGATTCGCTGCTGTTATCGGATCTGCGTAGTATTACCTGAAAGCGACCTCGTTTGACTTCGAGAGTGATAGTCATGAGAAGATCCGAAAGATTTTGATTTTGATTTTACAATGATCTAGAGGAAAAATAGTGTTAAGATCTCAAATTATATTAACTGTGATTGGATGATTTGCTCTTTGGCTTCGGCAACATTTCAATGTGTTTATAGCATTCTCCGTGAGGATCTAATAGCAAATGTAGCTGCTTCGATCAGTAGTGAGTGACACAATCTTGTTCTCTTGCTTTGAGCAGATACAGAGCTGTTACAAGTAGTTCTTAAGATCTCAAGTTCTATTAGCTGTGATTGGATGATTTTGCTCTTTGGCTTCGGCGACATTTCAATGTGTTTATAGCATTCTCCGTGAGGATCTAATAGCAAATGTAGCTGCTTCGATCAGTAGTAGTGAGTGACACAATCTTGTTCATTTGCTGTGAGCAGATACAGAGCTGTTACAAGCGCATACTATAGAGGTGCTGTTGGTGCGATGCTGGTCTACGACATGACGAAGCGCGAATCCTTTGACCACATTCCTCGATGGCTAGAGGAACTACGAGCGCACGCAGATAAGAACATCGTCATCATCCTGATCGGTAACAAGTCCGATTTAGAGGACCAGAGATCGGTTCCCATGGAGGACGCCAAAGAGTTTGCGGAGAAAGAAGGGCTGTTCTTCCTGGAGACCTCGGCTTTGAACTCCACCAATGTCGAGAACTCTTTCAACACTCTCTTGACTGAGATCTTCAACACAGTGAACAAGAAGAATCTCCAAAACCATGGCGATTTTAACAACCCGGGATCAATGGCTGGAAAGAAGATTGTTATTCCTGGTCCTGCTTCACAGGAGAACCCTACTAAGACCACCACCGCGTGTTGTAGTAACTCGTAAGTACTCTTGATTTGTTTTCCATTACAGTTGAGAAAGAAAGAACAAAATTTCAACGTTTTCATTTTCTGCAAAAACAATATTTTCCTGAGTTTGGTGTTATTGGGGGAGAGCTGCTTCTTTCATTGTATATTCTTTTGGAACCGGGAATTGTAAACTTCCATATTGGATTAAAACATAATAGTTATCACAAGATTTTGTTCCCATGGGGTTGAAATATAAAGGTGTTATAGAACAAAAAGCTTTCATTTTTTTGTCCATCCATGAGCCATTCATCAAAAGTCATCATGCATGATGCTTAAATGAAAAGGAATTTCAAATTTGTGAAAAGGGTAAGTGAAAAAAAAAGCACAACAGAGAAGTACAATCTACTAAAGTTATGATGAGAGAAAATGGCCTTTTAAGCTGTCTCCATAGCTTCAGGACCTCCCGAACCGGTTCCATTAACCGGACCAGCTTCTTCGGTTTTGGGAGTTCTCTCGGCGAGTCTCTCCAGCAGCTCTTGGCAATCTGCAGAAGTGACCATAACACCCAAACTGTTCTTCCCTCTCCAGCAACTGATGGCTATTGTTGATGCATCCACTTTCACGGGTTCTTCGCCTGAGAGATAGATAGATACCAGCAAAAACGGTTAAAACCACATCATACATGAACACAGAGTATCTATAACTATCGACCAAAACAGTACGCACCATCGGTGAGAATCACCACGCAGCATCCCAGGACAAGGTCGATTGCTTTCTGTCCCAACTGTGGGTTGACAAAATCAGGAAACTTGATCGATTTGTATTGCAGAAGATGTTTGAAGTCCGCCATTGGAGTGTACAGTATTTGCTTGGTGATGTACGGAAGGATCACAGGCAGTCCCTCCGACGATATACGGAACGAGCATGGCTTGCTTGAACCTTCTTTCGCCGATTGTCTCTCCTGCGTTTTCCGATTCGTAAACAAGTAATTGACAACAGATTGATCAGAGAGGTTTTTGGTGTACTTACAAACATCTTGAGGCCAACAGAGGCGATCTTAAGCTGCTGTCCGACTGCGAAATTCAGCTGAAGAACTTCCTTGACCGACTTCGAAACGTAGTAGATCCTTTTCACGCTGCTCGTGTCTGTGTTTCTTGTCACAAGGTGGCCGTGCAACGGGAATGATTCGTCTTTGATTCCGTAAAACTCCTTGATGCTGTTGATTAGTGCTTCGTCTTTCAGGAAGACAACAGGGTCGAAGCCTTTCCACTTCCCTTGCATCGGTACTTTCCTCTTGCCTGATGCGTGACTCGGGTTGGCTTCTTCTTTCTCTTCCGTGATGCTTTCTCCTTCTGTGTTTTTCTTCTCAGGCTCCAAGATATCGTCTTTCTCATTGTTCGAATCTGCTTCTGTAACTTTTTCCACTAAGCTCTCTACTGGTTCAACATCAACAGTAACAACAGCTTCTTCAGCCGGAGCCGGAGACTTTTCTGTCGAGTCAGCAGTTTTAGTGGATGCGTGCTTTCTCGGATTTGGTTTCTCCTGAAATTCTGTGAGAGAAACTACACATAAGTTTCTACAGGTGATTATCATCAATATCAAGAAACATGTTCTTCAACAAACAAAAAAACGAAAAATTTACCTGGCAAGGGTGAAAGTTTGTGAAGGACGGCGATGAAAAAGGCTCCGGTGTTCTGATCATGAGGAACTATCCTCATGCAACGTTCAAGTGGAAGATCAGAGATCTCAACAACTGGTTCATCGGAAATAGCATCCACCACATTATTATCTGTTTCTTTGGATCCATCTTCACAGCCGTCAACACCACCGTTCTCATTCTTCTCTGTTGATTCGGCTGCGTCCTTGAGGTTTTTCCCAGAAGGAAACATGCTCACAAGAACCCCACCTCTCCGGTTTTGAGGGACGTCTTTGTAAGAAGTAAACCACCCACCTTTATCACGCACCTGGATCCAGCAGAGACAAGGCAAATTAGATTCCGTAGAGGAGGGTTTGTTCAATAGGTTGAATTGTAGTAGAAACTGACCTTCCATGTCTTGAGACCTGGTCTTCGAATAAGTTCTGGAAGCTTATCGGAAACATCCACAAGTTCAACAGAGTCTCCACACCTCCTTAGAATCTGAATTCAAGCAAACGTTTTTATCAGACTACAGCTAAAACGGGTTTTAAAAGAAAGGTGAAGAAGTTACTACAAACTTACCTCAGCAACGACAGCTTCATCTTCAACTGGGTTCATTGAGCAAGTTGAGTATATCATTTTCCCACCAACTTTCAACAGAGATAAACCTGGAAAAGACCAAGCAGACATGTTTAAGATTTTAAGGATATCATTCTAACAAGACATTTCATGGAAAATTACTTTGGACATGTAAGAAAAGCTTACCCCTCATAGCAAGAATAACCTGTAAGCTATGAAGTCCATTGCCCATTCCAGAATTCCTGTACAAGAAACCAAAAGGAATAAGAATTTTTCAAGAACAAATGCTGTATAAATGCCTCATAACATGACAGATAGGAGAAAAATGGGCAAAAGAGTAAACACCATTTCCGCCAGATGTCTGGAGCCTTGCGCAGTGTACCATCACCACTGCACGGAACATCGCAGAGAACACGGTCAAAGGAAAGCTGATTAATGGGCATATCTTCACTTAGGCCTTTCTCAGAAGCTCGGGATTTGTTCAAGCGGCAACCAGGAAACTGTTGTCCTTCATGATTAGTCACTATCAAGTTTGATGTGCACATCCTCTTTGTCTGGTGAATCAGAAGGTTAGATCTTTGGAAATCAACATCGTTAGCCACCACCTGGTTTTTCAAGAAAGAACAATCAATTAATTTCCATCAAACCTAAAACCAGAGTTTGTAAAACAAAAAAAATAAGGAGAGCAACACAAACCATTCCATTAGGTAGAGTTCCTGGTTCTGATGCTCCATGTATAATCTCAAGCAGCTGAAATGTTTTTGAACCCGGCGCAGCACACACTGCTCAGACACAAGTATAAGTCATAAGTTCTTTGAGCCCTTTGAAGACTTTTAAGGTCTCAAAACAGAATGAAACGAAGATTCACTCACTGTCGAGCACAAAATGGTCTGGATGTACGTCGAGGAAGAGAGGAGGTACCTGCAACGGTTTTATAAATGTTAGAAACGACAAAGCAATGTTAACAGCAGCGGGAGAGAGTATTAAGCTATCTTATTCTTACCATGCTAACAGCTTCCTGTCTGGTCATGTTTCCGACTTCATTTTCTAATTTCAGAAATTCATGAAACCTGAAAAATAAACACCATGAAGAACCCATCATGTGTAACACAATCACACAAAATAACTAACACTCAATGTAACTAAAATATTGCCATTTGACTTGATAAGTTGATAGAAGCATTCATGTGTTGATGAGAATGTACCTCTCAAGTGTCTGATTTTTCCTAATCTGCTTTCGAGAAAAATTAGAATGCCAAGCGAGATTCTTCGGATACCAAGGCAAGGGCTTAATAGCCTCTAATTCACCATCTTCAATGGCCTAAAATGCAAAAACAAAATACAAAAAAAACGATTGTGAGATAAACAGAAAATAGAGAAAGACACTACAAAATGCCAATGACAAACATTGTATCTTTTACCTGCGCCTGAAGAGATTTCACGAAGTCATTCTCCAAGATCGATATTATATCATCGCAAAATTGGCTACTGCAAATCATAAAAGTAGTAAAAGGCAGCATCTAGTTAGTAGTTATAAACTTTACTTTATGGATTTTACATTGAAACTCATCCTTAAACCCTAAACCTCACTGAGACTATCAACAAATTGCATAATGAAGAGAAGAAGAGAAATAGGATTACTTGGAGTTAACCCTAAACGCAGCAGGCAAAGGCTTGCGCAGAATCTCCATGAACAAATCCCACTCTTCTGCTTTCACTATCCCTTGTTCCTACACACAAAATACAAGATTTAGAATCGTAACAACACTAAATCAGATCAATAACGCAAAGAAAAATCAATTAAAATCAAAACCCGAAACCCTCAATAGCTCATAACCTGAAGTTTCATGAGTAGAAAAATGAGACGCAATATTAAAAATGCATAAAACTGTCTCGATTCGATACAGAATCACGAACATGTTACCTTGTAGTATTCCTCGAAATTAGGGTTATCAGTCAAAATAGGTTCCCAGGTTGGTTTTTCCGGGACGGCGTTGCCGGAAGCATCGACGGTAGGATCGGATTTGGGGCGCTTCCAGACATTCTCTCTGCTCTCTTTGAAATGTTTCCTCTGAGAACGACCTCTTTGTCTTCCTCTTCCCATTCTCGTAGCTTTCGTCGGAAAAACAAAAGTTGGATTTCCGCCGCCGGATTCGAAATATCTCTCTGTGTGAAAAATCTTCGGGAGCTGAAGAAGTTAAGTGTTTGTTTGTTTCTTCTTCGTTTTCTTCTTAAAATTTCCAGGGCTTTCTTAATGGGCTTTAGGGTTTTAGTTTAGGTGTAAATATTTGGGCCCATAAAAAGAGTAGGAGAGTTGTTTCGACCATAATAATTTGTTAATTTTCTTGTGTTTCCTTAAATATATTAATTCTATGGTTCCTTATAATTTTGTTTTCATAACAGAATTAAGTTATTTTACTACATATTATTATTACTTCCTCCGTTTTTTATTATATGATGTTTTAGAGATGTACAGATTAAAAAATTATTTAATTTTTTATTTTTTCAAAACAAAACATATTTTTTTTCAATTCCAAAACAGTTCAACCAATAGAAAAATATAATTCAGAATTCAAACAGCCAAAAAAATAAAAATACAATTAATTTTTACATAAAAATTTGAAAACATCATATATTTTAGAACAAAAAATAAACTCTAAAACATTATCTAATAAAAAACGGAGAGAGTATTACTTATTCGTTTTTGAATTCTTGAAAACAGAAATAATAAATTCTTCTTTAATGGATTCAAATGTGGTTCAATATTTTGTTTTATTTTGGTATGGATTGGTTAGGTAAAATTTCAAATTCAATGGCTTTCTTCATGTGCGTTCCTTTTTTGCTGATTTCGAAATTTATAGGGCTTTTTTAGGAAACTAGATACCTCCGGGTCATATGTATTAATTATGACTCTTTGTCCGAAGTGACTATAAAATTAAAAAAAACCTGACAAGTAAAGATGGGGACAGCATCATATCTCAAAAACGGCAACGTATCAAAACCCACGAACGCTACTAAGTCATGATGATGACGACGACTTGCTTTAGTGTCAGTCACTTTTAAAGTTGGGATTCAGATAAATAAAAATAAATAAAAGTAATGAAATAAAATGCTAAAAAAGAAAAGCAATTTGTTCGGTTACAAAAAAAAATATGAACCAACCAATGGCTTAAATTGTTGCCTCCTCTTGTCACAACAATCCTCTTATCTCACGACACCCAATCACTCACCTCTCCAACTATTTATTGTTTTATACATTCTGACAAACAAAAGTTATTATTTTATTTTTTGTTTGTTTTATTTTCTTTCCAAATTTTAATTTCTTTTGTAGAGTCTATATATATATATATAGATCGACGATAATCAACCAAAATTTATCGTATAATACTTAGTTCTTATAGTAGTAATATTACAGAGTCATAGGTGAAATGAATATGTCGAAAATATTAAAATATGATGATAATCAAAACAAAGATTTTTCTTGTGAAAAAAAAAATGACGAGTTTAATGGATGTTGCCTTCACCATATTCGGTATGTTTCCATCTTCTAACACAACTATGCTTTTACTTAATCTCTCATTTTCACACAAAAATGTCGTATTAGAATGAATTTCTAGAGTGTTGATAATCTAATCAACATCTTTCATAAATTATTTTAATAATTATGTTTTATAATTAAACATTTTTTAGAAACACATCAGACTGATATATTGTGTGTGAGACAGAAAAAGTTGAATTTGTATTTACTATTAAGAGTGAAAAGTATGTAGCAATAATTAGATAATGCTTATTTCGCTAATGGTGATAATCTTATCAACATAAGGACACAGTTTATCCTTTTTTTTGGTCAAGAGACACAGTTTATCTTAATACTTAATAGTAGTATTTTTTATTATATTTAATAATTTAGCTGTACGTACAGTTACGATAGCACCACTGATGATCACAGTAGACAATAAGAGATGCATGTGTGTTTGTGTTCTTTTACCAAAACAAGGTAACGGTGAAGATAAGGTTTATTCCCCTTTTACAAAGTCAAAAGTTGAAATCACTCAATTTCTTCGTGACCTTTAAAAGCTTATCGATAAATGTGTTTTACACTTATTTGATTACGAACGTCTCTGATACTATCTATGAAATTGACCAGATTTCTAGTATAAGTTATTGAAAGTACGTTCTAAAAAAAAAAAAAAAAAAAAAAAAAAACAATTCCGCATTTCTATAGTTTTTCTTTGTAAAGTAATTCTTTATTAATCTCTTATTCAAAAAAATATAACTTAAAAAAAAATTGATTTATTAGTCTCTTACAAATTATAAAAACTGTTATATTAACAATTTTATAAAGGTTAATTTTACCGTTTTATGAAGATTCATAACTAATAATTCTATATGCACCAAGTTTACCAATATTATATAATGATCTATGCTTCACAATTTTGTTTATACTACATTAAAAAAATTTTGTAAACTTGATTCCATTAATTTGCATTATTTTTTATTAATCTATATTATTAATAATAAATTGTGTTTTCTGTGATTTGCAAACCAAACCTCCTAATATAAAAAAAATGGACTTTCACACAAAAAAATGAAAAAAAAAACTCTCTATTACTGTTTTAAGCCAAATATAATTGACTAAATTAATTCTAATAAATAATTCAATTTATTAATTCAGTATTCAGTTTTTTACAAAATTTGCCAAAATAATCCACAAACTTATTGGTAACAAAATATGAGTTTGATTGGTTGTTGCTATAGATGTTGTGCATATCAATATTTATGTTTACAGCTCTAAAGCATACTAATTATGTTTTATAAATTTTATTTGATCACAGCTAAAATATATATTTTTTGTGTATAAAGCATTTTTTTCTAAAGCACATAATTTTATACTTTCTAAATTTTACAATTTTATAGCCAGAATTTTTAGAAAATAAAATCTACAATTATTATAAAAAAAACTTGTAACCATATATATACAACAAAATCATAAAACTACAGCTATTATCAATTCTATAGACTAATTTTCTCAATGGGACCAAAGCTTTTATTAGGAATTATTTCATATAAAATGACATTTGGAAGCTCACCACCACACTTGCACAAACCCCATTTAAGGAAAAGCCTTAGAAATTTGGAAAATCATTCTCGAAAACCACCAAAAAACTCTTTATAAAGCCAACAAAGTCTCTTCTTCTTCCATCACTGAAAACCAAACACGAAAAAGGGAAGAAAAAAAAACGTTACTATAAAATTAATAAAAAATAAGAAGAAGAAGAAGATGTCTCCTCTTCTTGCCCATCTCATCTTCTACCTACTCCTCTTGACGGTGGTTACCGGAGAAATTCTCCGACCAAGATTCTACAGCGAAACATGCCCTGAAGCTGAGACCATAGTAAGAAGAGAAATGAAGAAAGCCATGATCAAAGAAGCAAGAAGCGTCGCTTCCGTTATGCGTCTCCAATTTCACGACTGTTTCGTCAATGTAAGCCACACAATCTCTCTCTCTCTCTCTCTCTCTCTCTCTCTCTCTCTCTCTCCCTCTCTCTCTCTCTCTTCTTGGTTTTACCTTTTTGCTGATTTGCTTCTTTGTTTTCTCCGATGATGAATCAAATCAAGGGATGTGACGCATCTCTGTTGCTTGACGACACACCGAACATGCTCGGTGAAAAACTAGCGCTTTCCAACATCAATTCGCTGAGATCTTTCGAAGTTGTCGACGACATTAAAGAAGCTCTAGAGAAAGCTTGTCCCGCTACTGTTTCTTGCGCCGACATCATCATCATGGCTTCTCGCGACGCCGTCGCTCTAGTAAAAATCCCTTCTTTCTCCAATTTCCCGGTTTAGTGAATTCTCGGTTTTTTGTAATTTCGGTTCGTTCTTGAAATGAAAACCAGACAGGAGGACCGGATTGGGAAGTGAAGCTAGGGAGGAAAGACAGTTTATCAGCGAGTCAGAAAGATTCAGACGATGTAATGCCGAGTCCAAGAGCAAACGCAACTTTATTGATCGATCTGTTCAAAAGATTCGATCTTTCAGTCAAAGACATGGTGGCTTTATCTGGGTCACACTCGATCGGTCAAGGTCGGTGTTTCTCGATCATGTTCAGGCTTTATAACCAATCCGGGTCTGGTAAACCGGATCCAGCTCTCGAACCGGTTTACAGGAAGAAGCTGAACAAGCTCTGTCCTCTGGGTGGAGACGAGAACGTGACCGGAGATCTGGACGCGACGCCGCAGGTTTTCGATAATCAGTACTTCAAAGACTTGGTCTCAGGGAGAGGGTTTCTCAACTCTGATCAGACTCTGTACACGAATGGAGAGACGAGAGAGTATGTGAAGATGTTCAGTGAGGATCAAGCAGAGTTCTTTAGAGCTTTTCAAGAAGGGATGGTGAAGATGGGTGATTTGCAATCTGCGAGATCTGGTGAGGTTAGGTTTAATTGTAGGGTTGTTAATAGAAGGCCTATTGGTGGATTGCTTGAGTCTTGAAAATTTATAAAATGTTTTTGAGTATTTGAGACCTCAAAATTAAATCCATAAACTTTTGAGTTTTTTTTTTTTTATCATTTCTGTTTCTGAAAATGAATTTCAAAATATTCTAATATTGTGCCGGCTAATCTGAATCAACAAATCGATAAACAATATCATGCAACTTTCCCAATTTTTCTTCTATATAATTGACTTTGTTCCTCAAAAAAGCTATTTTCAGCTTCACGGTTGTAGGATAAAATGAAAAAATAGTCAAATAATTTGGATTTCTGGTTCTTATAGATTTATTTTCTTCTTCTTTAAATACTCAAATAGCGACCCTGAACAATGATGCTTCTCTTCACTCATGAATTACTAGAGAGAGTGCGCCATCACGTTCAGTGACTGTGATTCAACAACTAGAGCTTTTGGGCTATTTGAATATTATAAAAGCCCAAATGGTTATTAACTAGCATAATGCTAGACAGCCCATTTTAGTCTACTGTTCTGGGTTCTCTTATCAATATTTGTTTTATACATATTAGTCACAACATAAAATCTGTATTTTAAAATACTTATGTGATACTAACTAGAATCTGTATTTAAAGTAAGAGTGACAGTATGCTACGTGTTCCACTTCAATATTGACTTTTTGCATACTTTTTATCTGATATTTTTTTGATGTGTTTTAAGAGTTTCTATGTTCCTTTATTCTTCATCTATATTATTCGAATAAGACTTTTGTCTGAAAGATTAGAAAGTCTGAGTAACAACAATTTAGAAAAATGTTTCGATAGTGTTTCTTCTTTTCTAAAACTCGCAATTCAACAAACAACGTGGTGATCCATGGATCGGTTGATATTCTAGAAAATTAATGTCATAAATTTATTTTACCTCAATAAGAAAAAAAAAAATTATTTTACCTAAAGTAAAGTTTTGATTGGAAAAAAGGTATTAACTGATTCTTAAATATGACATTTTTCTTCAATTATTTTAGTTAGATTGATTTTCCAAACTAAACACTTATCTTTGTACATCAATATATTCATACATATTAGTCAGATGACATAAAATTTTACAATTTAACAACAAAACCTTTGACTAATACATATCTTGTACAAATATTACAATTGTTGTAGAAATTGCAACACCAAAGTTATATAAAATCTATGTATCATTAAATCTGTTTCGTTAACCAAATTTATACTATATCCAATACTTTTTCTACAAAATATCTTATTTCATCAAAGCAAAAACATTACAACTGATTTGTGTAAAGCATATCTTCCCAGAAACCATATTGAATCATACTAACAAATTACAAATGTATATATTCAAGCATGACCTTGAAAGTATACATCACATCTTACACATTCATATACACATTCATAAACTGATACTTGTTTTGAAAACTTACCTCCAAACCACATGCTAATAGAAGATCGAAAGTAGACTATTTCTCTTCATAGCCCTTCAATGGACTTTCTTGGGATGTTGATCAGTTAATAGTAGAGTCATGGTCAGCAAAAACCTGCATAAGTAACCTCAAATTTTAACTTAAATTAAAATTTTGTTTCTAGTAACTGTTCAAATTGACTCCATTTAGGCAAATGTTACCATGTTAGTTTAGAAGTAGGTATCGTTCAGAGGGAAGTCTTTTTTCATTGCAGTTCTGCAGGATATCCATTCACAAACCAAACAATCATCTTTATAATTTGTTCATTTTTTTCCAATTTGAAAATTAAAAAATTTCCTAATTCTTTGAACTATTTGTGAATTCTCTTCGTGTATATTGTTGCAAGAAAAATATGTCTTGACACAATATATTGTTATCCTGGGAAACACATCTTAGGAGGTTTAATTAGCTGTTTTACCTGGTATACAATACTGTAAAACCATAGGTCCTTAGTCGGTTATTTATATGCATCTAAGGTTGAAAGTGTTTTTTGTTTGTTTTTATTTTATTTTTGATCCTCAAAAAAGAATAATCATCATCAGTTCTTGTTGTGTTTCCTTTTCATCTTGTTGCAAACTCAATTGCATAAGTGCATCCTTTTTGGCAATTATATTCAGATGTATACAAAGACAACGTCTCACACGCAAAGAAAGAATTTGATTCTTTTATAAACGTTTAGTTTTTAAGTTTTGATTATTGAATGACCTATCTTGAAATAAAACGAAATTTGTTGAGGGATTCAAAAACATTCTACAATATATTCTTTTCTTGATTAATTGGTGACTGATTTTCTCACTAGTCACTAGTCACTAGTCATTGCATAACAAGCATATGAGTAATACAAATACTGAGTTTACTATTCCCATTCCTACCATGACATGAATGCACAAATCAATCTTTGGGTTTATAATGGGCTGAGTAATACTGTAAGGCCCAATTCTACCGACAATTAAACCGGTTTATTATTAAACCGATTTCGGGGGTCACAAATTTTTTTTAGTCAAGAAGTCTCTCTCCACTTCCTCCTTCTCCCATTGTCGAAAATTGAAAGCAAGTTACACAATTCAGTGAGATCAGATCCTTCTGGTGTGGAATTAGGGTTCATCGATTCGGTACCAAAGGTATCACAATATCGAAATTCTCGTTCGTTGCGTTTAATTTGAATTTAAATCGAAAAGGATCTAAGGTTGTTGATTTTCGGATTTCTCTCCCTTTTTTTTTCCGTGTGTAGGAAATGGATTGGCAAGGGCAGAAGTTGGTGGAGCAGCTGATGCAGATCTTACTGGTGATCTCCGGCGTCGTCGCGGTGGCTGTTGGCTACGCGACGGAGTCCTTCAGGACGATGATGCTGATCTACGCCGCTGGTGCTGTTCTCGCGACTCTGATCACTGTACCTAATTGGCCCTTCTACAATCGTCATCCTCTCAAATGGTTAGATCCGAGCGAAGCCGAGAAGCATCCGAAACCACAAGTTGTCGTTTCTTCCAAGAAGAAATTCTCTAAGAGATAGGTCTGATGAATCTCTCTCTCTCTCTCTCTCTCTCTCTCTCTCTCTCTCTCTCTCTCTCTCTCTCTCTCTCTCTCTGTTGTGGTTGTTTAGGAATTGTTTTCTATGAGATATTCTGGATCGGATTCTTAATAATGAATTGAATTTCTGTTTTTTTTTTTTTTGGGATCAATTCTCCTTCTTAGCCAACAAATCTCTGTGGTACATTGACTAATCATGTTGATCATTTACGCTAATCCAAAGAGATATAGCTAACAAAAGATTCATTTCAACAAGTGTGCTAAGAAATGTATTGTGTGAAGTATTCATAAAAATGTAACGTAGGAGAAGAACAAGTTATACTCTTGAGCCACTCTGCCTCAACTTTGCTATTAGATCAAACAAGCTCAGATCTTTCACCTGCAAAGTTCATGAAAAGTCTGACTTAAGCTTTGAAGGGTCTAAACATGAGAATCCATCAACTCGAAAGTGCATACCATTCCCATGTAGTTATGACAGTAACACAGTTGGAGGAAGCTTGAATGCTACGTTTATGTATATAGGAAATCAAAAATCCCTGTTTGTTTATGTCGCAAGTTCACTCCTTTTTGCTTAGTCGGATATTGAGTAAGTGGTATCTCTGGGGTTTATGTCGCAAGTTCACTCCTTTTTTGCTTCTCTGTGTTTTTCTTAAAAAATGGGAATTCGAAAAGCCGAAAATCACACAGGAAACTGAAAAGGCAAAAACGATTCGGAAAAGTTCATATAAGTCATTGTTTATCTTCTTCTCTTATGGCGAATTTGACTGCTTCTCTAACAAGTGCTTCTACTTCTCGCCGTCAACGATACGTACTGCTCCAGATTCCGTAGGTTTCCTCTCACACCATTGCCGATATATCTCGTTTTAAACTTGTTCTGTTAGGTTTGGACACAGTTTCTTTGTCTTTTTGATAATCCGTTTCTTGCTCACCTTTTGTTGTCCCTGTTGGCTCTATTCACCTTTGTTGCTCGTTGTTTGCTCATGAAATCTGTTTTTCTATTTTTGACTACATTTTAATTCTCCTTCTGTGTTTGTGGTTATTGACTGGTCCCTTTGGTTTTTATCAGTGAGATGGCGACGTTACCAGAGAGGATGTTCGAATTAGGCAAAGAACCTGTTGACAAGAAGGTCAACATATACTACAGCCTGAGGTACCTAGAGGTTATAAAATGCGCCATTGAGCTCGAACCTGACCTCAGGAGAAAGCTCATGGACTCCCAGTTCGGGAAACTGATCGAGGCTGGTAACAAGATAACCTCCTCCGTCAGATTCATCCACTTCCTCCTGTGTAGGCAACTCGTTACCAAGAAAAGACACGAGATCTGGTGCGTGTTCGCTGGCCAACCATTTCGTTTCTCCATCAGAGAGTTTGCGCTTGTCACAGGTTTAAACTGTTCCGAGCTACCAGCCCATGACGAAGAAGCAGGAGACGCTTCTGAGATCACCAAGACACTGTTCGGGAAAGAGAAAAACCCTACGCTTGATTGGATAATGAACACACTCTTAGCCAAGCAATGCAAAGACAAGGACACAATGTTGAGGCTAGCTTGCGTGTTGCTTGTGGACGGTGTTCTCTGCCCTTCTTCTAATTCTAAGAAAGCTAGGATCGATGGGGATCACATTTTGATGGTTAAAGATGTTGACTCGTTTCTTGCTTACCCGTGGGGTCGAAGATCGTTCAACATGACTATGGATGCTATAAAAGGCCGTTCTTCTTCTTTGTCAAACCTCTGCCAACCATCTTGTGCTCTTCAGGGCTTCGCACACGCGCTGCAGATGGTAGCTTTAGCTTGCGCACCACTCATATTAATGCCTAAGGAAGTGGACGAAGCTGCTGAAGAAGTTCCTTCTGCACAGAAGCCAATAAGCATCTTCATGCCTCGCGTGAAGTCTCTTGACAAAGCACACAAGGTATGCTAATTTTACTCTGTGCATATACGTCAAGTAGTCTGGCTTATGGTGTTGTATACTAACAGACATAATGTAGGTTTGTGATGTGCAACACATAATGGAAGAAGAAGAAGAAGGTGACAGTGTTATTGAGGAAACGGAAATAAGCTGGTCAGATGAAGAGGAGGACGCTAGTGTCGATCACATGCTTGAGTCAATCTACAGTGGTGTCGCTGCCTTCACAACGACGTCATGGATTGGTGGGGCTAGGGTCATTGACCATATCAACCCGACAAGGGCGCAAACAACAACTACAGTAGATCCTGCATCATCTTTTCAGAAGGTCCTCGAAAGTTTTGCGGCGGCTACCAAAGCATCTGCCACGGCTGCTAAGGCGTCTGCTACAGCTACCAATGCATTAGCCCAACTTAAGCATGTTATACGAAACTTTGCTCTTGAGAGCAACATGCCGTGTGACTTTAATCCAACGCCGGAGCAAAACCGTGAGAGCAGCCATGAGGAAGAGACAAACGCTGGCGAGATCACATCGGCTTTGCTAGCAGGAGAGGTAACTTTATCTTGATGCCACAATCACTAGATACTTGACATTTTCTAAGTATATTGTTGTTCCCCAAGCTATGAATAACACTAAGGAAACAAATGTTTCCCAATCCAGAATGATGATGATGGTGTTTGGGAAGCCCCACCAATACAGGATGATAATGATACTAATCAGGCCATGGCCATGGAAGAGGATACAAATGCTTGTGAGAATGCTAATGGAGAGGTACTTTCTGTATATTTGGCTACTTTCTAGACAACATAGCCACCAAACATCATATCTTTAAAGTATTTTTCCACCTTCTCACGAGTCGTTTTTGTATGCCTTCAAGGATACTGATGATGCCACAATCCCTGATGAACCATCAAACTTGCCAGATGTCAGTGAAGCACCCGGTCCGGTTCGGCGGAAGACTAGGTTAGCTTCAACTACAATGACAGAAGAAGATGGATCAAGGCGTTTCAAGAAAGTGAGCAAGTCTCCAAGTTCTTTCCGAAGCCAAACATAGCTTCTACAAATCAAACTTAAAAGGTCTCAGTGCATGGGATCACTTCACTCATGCTACTCGAGCTGCTTAACACAGTAGGTGTAATTTGTATAACTGCATAGATTCTTGATCTTTCACCAAAGCCTAGCTAACTAAGCCTTAAGGTATCTATCATCAACATTTAAAAGTGCATTTCTCAATCACAGGAAGTTAATATGTTGTTAAATACTCCCTCCATTTTGAAATATAAGATGTTTTAGAGTTGGACACATGTATTAAGAAAATTTGTAAAATGTCTATTATAATCTTATTTATTATTATTTGTTTGTTTACCAATTAATTTAAAAGTAAAACAAGTCATTTATTGATAAATTTTGTATTGATTTCTGAAAACATTATATATTTTCAAATAAAAAATAGTCTTAAAACATTTTATATTAAAAACATCTTATATTAAAAAACAGAAGAAGTATAATGTAAAAATTGAAGAGCAATTTGCTACATTATTTTATAGATTTTTATGTACTTATTTTCTGGCAAGCTATTAAATAAATTTTCTATAAAAAAAAAGACTAATAAATGAGGCCGAAAAGTCAAAACTGAAAAACTAATCGACGGCTAGAAAAGAGCGATCTTGGCGTGGCGTGTGGGAAGCAGACACTGTTGATGGGGACAGCAACTAGCATTAGCAAGCACGAGACGTCGCCGTTTAGCGACAAATCCTCACCGGAGCGAGAGCGACTCTCCTTTCTTCTTTTTTCTTTTGTGTTTCTTTTTAGTTTGTCTACTACACAATACGTAGAATTTTTAAAGTTTTGTAAATTGTCTTTTTTTTAATTACTGTATCATTCCATATCTCAAAGTATATTTGCTAGAATTGCTCCTAAATACGCCACAAACTTAACCTCAATATAGTAAACAAAAAAACTGGATTAGAAAAACCACTGCATCTTTTGTAAATGCATCATTAAAGTATCTTTATTTGTATAATTCTCCTATAAAAAAATTAGTAATCAGAACATGTATGATGTATCATTTGGTTTGTGTTCGTCATCGTGTTATCCTACGGTGATTTCTTAATAAAAAAAAAGAAAAAACACGTTGGTAAAATCAGTTTCAGGCCACTTATTTTTTATAGCTCTTTTTAAAATAATGGTTGGTTATATTATATATACCTTTTTAACTAATAAATCTTTATTTTAAAATGAATAATTATTTATAAAATATTTAATATAGTTTTTATACAAATTATTATGTTAATAGTATCAACGAAAATTTTGATAATAATATGAAAAAGAGTCAGATTTTCTCAATATATATAAAAAATTAACTCGATTTTTTCCTAATTGGATTTAAAAGTCTACATAAAGTAACTCCTTGTGTGCATATGTGAAGACACACGCATATGATAAAGTTTTTTTCTTTTTTCAGCCAGCAATAAAGTTTTCTTTTTGGTGAAAAATGTTTTTTATTAAAAGGCCGAATTTTTTGACTTTGAATATCTGCAAAAAAGGTAGGTCCCACCAATTGCTGACTCGAACTATTCCTCAGGACCACTTGCAAAAACCGACACGTGTCTTATCGTTTCGAGACAAGACAAAGTACACCTAGCTATATTTTAAGCCGATATGAGCCGTATAAGCTGTCTCCTTCAACGGGTATTAGGAATCGTATAATCACCGTATTCGAGGTTTTTTTAATATATATACATATATACAAATACAATATGTTTTTTGTATCTGTTGCTCAGTTTACTGTTGGAATAAAACTGACTATAATAAACTAATCAGAGAAAATTTTGCAATTTTCCTAAATTAGTATATTTAAAATTTTTCCAGAACTAAAGCTTCGAAAGGGACCATTACGATCACATCTCATATTTTCTTATTGACAATGTGACTTCAAGGCTTTATATGTTTATCTTTAAATAAAATAGACTATCGTCTTTGAATTTTTGGACGATGCTTTAATACATTGAAATGAAAACATTTCACCATTACATTTCTTAATTAATGAACATTTCATTTTCCATAAGCGGGCCCCGA